AATTCATAAAGGTCATATATATCATAAATATTTAATAAGAAAATTTAATAATTTAATAAGAAAAATATCAATTCAAAAATATATAGTTTATATTTAAATAAATGAATCTCATATTTTTAATATATAAATTCATTTGTAATTTTTAATTAATAAACAAACAAATATTTACATATATAAATATATACATATATACATTGTTCTATTAGATATTTGTTAAAGATTTTGGGTTCAAGTCGTAGAATGTTGAAGTATTTTGATCGCGATAATAGAAATTATGATATAAAAATAAAAATACAATAAATTAATATTTAAACATTATTTTAATTTAACAATAAATTGAATAATAATAATTTAATAAACTTAAACTATAAAACAAATTAACTTTAATATAAATGTAAAATAATGTCTGACTTTTTCAAGCATAATAACTAAGTGTGTGAATCTAATTTTTCTTATTTTATTTTATTAGATATATATATATTATAATTCTATTATAGAATTTCAAAAATAAAGTATTGCATTTTTCTATATTATAGTAATAATCATGTTAGAAAGTGATTAATTATAGTTATCAATAATTGATATTTCATCAATAAATTAGTTATCAAATTGTTCATTGTTTTCTATATCTATATTTTTTAATTTATTACAATTTATATTTAGCACCAAGTACATTATAGAATACCATCTTATGATGATCTCATACTTTTAATAACATTATGGTCGATATTATAATGAATTTATGTATTAGCGCAGTTCATTGAATCTAATTATCGGATGTAAATAAATCAAATTACGCGATAGGTAATGCGATTTCAGCTATTGTTGATGAAATTAATCTCAAAATCATTTATAAATCTTTTAATTATTTATTACTCCATAATTTTTAGAAATATTAAATCAATATAATAAAAATTATAATAAATAAACATAAATATAATTATAATAAATAAACATCAATATATATTTATAACGATATAAATTAATTTGGATTTTAATATTTTGTCTACCAATAAATTGCAACATATGTCATGATTTTATAAACTTTCGATATTTGATTCGAAGAATATATACATTGTTAATTGTGAATGTGTATTGTTTTGAAATTTTTGGCGCATTTTTTAATTAAATATTATGAAATTCTAATATTTTAATATATATATTGTAAAAGATATTTAATCACATTTTGTATATGTATATAATAAATCTTCTTTTTTAATGTTATTTATATTAATTATTAAATAATATTTAAATATTAAAATAAAAGAATACATATCTTTAGACTAATTAAAAATATATAAATCATTTTTTTTTGTTATATTATTTTTTTAAATTATTTAATTATTGTTATTTAATTAAATTTTAAATTTAAATTTAAAAATTTATTTAAGAAGTTCATAAAGATTATTTATTTAAAATTCAAGAAATATAAAATTTATTAATAACGAAAAAATTAAAGAATTATCTTAGAGATGAATATATGAATATATATAATATGAATATATTGTAAGAATTTTATTTTATTAATTCGAATTATAATTAAATAAAATAATGAAATAAAATTATGTTTATGATATTATTTTTAAAATTAAGATTTTTTTATTTTTAAAATTAAGAAAACATTATTAGTAAATATTATTACTAAATATTAATAAATATTTCAAATCTATTTTAATTTTTCTTATAATGTATAAACATTGATACAATATATAGTGAACCTTTAATATTTTTTTGTATTGTAAACTGACTTAAGTACGTAATTATAACTAGATTAGTAAAATAATTGATTATTTTCTGAATTCAATTAATAAAAATGTTTGTATATTATATATATCTATGAAATAAATAAATAAATGAAAATTTTTGCATATTAAATAGAATATAATAAAATGTATATTGTCCAATAAATCAATTGCTATTGGTAGTGGTACAACATACATATAGTTAGGTGATCTGGCTATGTTAAACCTACAATCACTTGGTTCAAGAGAAAAGATTAGAAATTAGTCAGAATCGTGTATATGATTGAATTTCTCAATAGATAATTAATTACTGTGTTATAATATTAAAATTAATTAATATAAGATATAATAATGATTTTGTTAGAGATACACAATAGGATACTAGAAGAAACGTTAAGTAACAAAATAAAAAATGCTCTGTCGGGGTAAGTAAAATGTTCCTTTTTTAAGAACAAGATATTTTTTACGTTTTTAAGATAAAGTTAAAGATTACAAATTAGGGCGGTGTCCATTTCAAATATCAATGACGTTTATTTTAATAGGATATTTAATATTTATGTATGTATTGTATGTATAAATTAAAAAAAATGATTAAAAATTTAGATCTATTTACATTATATCGAAAAATATTTATGTAAAATATAGTTTTTCCAGCATTTAATCATCTATTTTAATATTTATTTAACATTATCTTAATATAAAAAATATATAATTAATATTAAAAATTTATGAAAAAAAATAATGAAAATAAAATAATTTTATATTAATATGTTTATAATGTTTAAATTAATTTTCATTATCAATTAATGATTTTGTATTCTATATATTTAATGTATGTAATATAATTAAAATATATCTTTTTTTATAGTCATAAACCAGAATCTACAGATGTTGTTATAGCAGATTTTGATGGAGTTTTATTTCATATTTCTAATTTAAGTGGTGATAAGTCAAAAATTAGAGTAAGTTCTAAAAGATTTTATTATGTGTATTTTTTAGCATAATAATGTATAAAATTTATATATTATATATTAAAATAGTAATATATAATTAATTAATGTTATTTATGTATTTTATTGCTTAATCAAACTTAAATTTATAATAATAATAATTCATAATAAAACTTCATTTGGTATTTTTTTATTTATATTTTTTCTTTTAAATAATTTGCTTAATTTTGTTACAGATAAGTATTTTACTTAAATTTTATAAACAATTGCAAGAACATGGGGCTGATGAGTTACTTATACGTGAATATGGACCTTATCTTATAGCTCCTGAAAATGGTAAACAATATAATTATATTTAAGAAATATAATAATAAATTAATAATAATTATTAATTATGTTATTCAAACATTATTTAATAAGATTTTGGTATTTTTTTTATTAGGTTATAATGTCTCTGTATTAATAGATTTGGAAAATTTGCCTGAAGATTGGGAATCATTAGTTAAAAAAATTGCACTTTTAAAAAGGCATTGTTTTGCTAGTGTTTTTGAAAAATATTTTGATTTTCAAGAAGAATATTATGATTCACCAGGTACACAATTGCAAAAAAGGGCAGTTATTCAATATAGAGATGAAGAAACAATGTAAGAATATATATTACTTTTATTTTAAAATATATAAAATAAAAATAATAAAAATAAGTAATATCTTTAATTTATATATATTTTATATAAAGGTATGTTGAAGCCAAAAGTGATAGGGTAACAGTGGTATTTAGCACAATATTTAAAGATGAAGATGATATGGTTATTGGAAAGTTATTTTTACAAGAATTGAAAGAGGGCAGACGTGCAAGTCATACAGCTCCACAAGTTTTATTTAACCATCGAGAACCACCATTAGAATTACAAGATTCTGAAGCAGCTGTTGGAGATTGCATTGGATATATTACATTTGGTAAATATTTATATTTATATTTGGTAATTTAATTATGTTAAAATTATAAAAAAAAATATAAAAAATACAAAATCAAATTATAAAAATTATTAAAATTTATAAATTTTACATATTAATTTTTTCTTTATGTTTTTTTTTTATAGTATTATTTCCAAGACATACAAATAGAGAAGCTCGTGATAATACCATTGACTTAATACATATGTTTAGAAATTATTTACATTATCATATTAAATATAGTAAAGTTTATATTCACTCAAGAATGCGTACAAAAACAACAGATTTTTTAAAAATATTAAATAGAGCAAGATCTCAATCAAAAAACACTGAAAAAAAAACTATCACGTAAGTTCTTTCAAAAATATTTGTTTTTCAATAACATTAAGATATTAAATTTGAAAATATTATATTTTACAGGGGTCGAACATTCATTAGGAAGGAATGAGTGTAAACATAAAATTATATTCCTTATATTGTTTTAATAAAAGATAAATGATTTCACATTTATCTTATAGATTTATTAGAAATTTTTTGATCTTCTGGCAAGAAAATTTGTTATTGTTTATAACAAAAAATTCTAATTCATCACATGACTTAAAAACTATCAATTTTTGAGTCTTAACATTCATCATTATCTATGAACAATATAATGTTCTTTATAAAAATTCTATATTGCTAAATACACTTGAAATGTATACATAGCAATATATGATTGAAAAGTCATTTTATATCAAAATTTTTTAAATAATATTATCAAAATGCATAAAGTTTTCAAAAAAATCAGGGAATAGTCTGTTTGTGAATAAAATTAAAAATTATCTTTTGTTTTTATTTGATAAAATGTAATTAATTCTATCTTTAAAATCAAAGATACATAATCACATTTCTATTTCTTTAAATTTTTTATCTTTATAAATTCACGAAAATGATTTTTTTTTTAAATTCCACGTACAACGAAAATGTTTAAAATAACAAGAAACGCGTGGATTTTATAAAATAATATATTGATGTATCATTTGTATTTTTAATAACATAGATGTCTTTTTTGATAAATTATTTTTATTAGCTACATTTAATTGTCTCTCTTATTAACATATTAATTGTAATATAATAAAAGTATTAATTCTACATTATAAGTGATATAATTATCAAACCTTTGTTTGTACTAATTGAAAATATTGAGTTATTGTGAAAATTAATATTAATATATATAATTAACAAATGGATATAGGGATTGGAAAATAAGATTAAGATAAAAACTAGGGTGTGCCAAATAGGGATGTTCATTAGTAACCACACCTCTTTATTTAACATTGACATAAAAGCTACAGTATGTGCCTCATAGAATTTCAGTTATGCGCGTTTTTCTACAAAATACACATTCTGTTTAAAGTTCATTGTATTAATTATTTTTATAATTAAATGAAAAAAATTTGAAATTTTCAATGTTGATACATATATTTCATTATATTTTTTTTAATATGTAAGTATTATAAATTATTACAACAATTTATTAGAGTTAAAATGTATATATATATCAATATAAATTTTTAAACAAAATATTTTATTAATAATTCTGAAAAAATTTTATATTATTTTCTATTAATTTTTTGATATAATTAAAATTTAATTTTTTAATTATACATGTAAAATATTTATGAATTATATTATTAATATTATGAAACAAAAAATGAAGTTAAATAATTATAACAATGATTTAATAATGACATTTCCTTTTAGAAAATTTATTTCTAAATATTTATTCAAATTTTCCAGTTAAATTATGAAGATAGTAAATGAATCAACAATTGCATCAACTTTATTTTCATCTTTGTCACCTTATTCATCTGATGGAAATTATGTTGGAAGTGAAGTTGAAAAATGGTTGGAAGATAAAGTAGCAGGGTTTCGAATTTGGCAACTTGCTGGCATAATTCTTTCTATTCTACTTAGTATATTGATTGGATTTTGTTGTTGCATCAGATTCAGAGTACCACGAACTAAACAAGAAATAGAAGCTGATTATATTCGAAAAAAAATAACAGACAATTTTAGACATGAGTTATTTAAAATCAATAATATAGAAATGAATGATATGGATTTGAAAAAAGGTAAAGAAATTTAAAATTTAAAAGTTATAATATGAAGAAAATTAAAATTTAATTTTCATTTATTTAATCTGTTATATTAATTAGTACTGATGTACATATCTATTTTTCATTATTAGCATTAAGCAAAATTCAAAATAAATTTGATATAGAAACTTATGAAGTACAAAAGCTTCATGAAGAATTAACATACAAAAATATGCATAAATTGCATTCAAAATTCAGTGGAATATTTAATGGAATTTATTTTAATAAACAAGAATATCCCAATACTGGTAATATAATTTAATAAATTTATAAATTATTTTACTTATTATCAAATACAGATACAGATCTTATTTTTTAAAATAATGATTATTACTAATATTATATTTCTAATTAAAATTTATAATAACTAAATTAGATATTATAATAAGAGATAAGAAATATAACATTAAATAAAATAAATAAATTCTATACATCATTAATTGACTAAATATAATCTTTATTTTATGAGCATAATACAGAAATTAAGTTATCTTACATGCAACAATAATCTATAGCAAAAGATAATACATTTTAGAAAGCATATAATAGAACTAGTATATATTACCTACCACATTATTTATTTACTTATATTATTAGATGATTAGTATTGTAAAAAGTGCAGATTCTTCATTATTTTTAAACAAAATAAATTTTTTACAAATTATATATAATTTAAATGAAATATCATATAGATATACACATATATGTGTATAACATTCATAAAATAAGAAATAAATATAGTATAAATTTTATATTCTCATTCATGATTAAAGATTATTATATTTGTTTTTAAAGGATGTTATTACTATTAGTATATTTATAAAATTAAAACATCTTATAATGTGAAACAAAATTTTTAGATAATACTTTTTAGATAATTCTTATTGTCTCTCTCTCTCTCTCTCTCTTTGAAAACTGAAATATTTTTATATTTTACTATATATATTTGAATAACTATAAAATTATGCATTATTGTTAATTTTAAAATTATATTAATATTTTTTGGAAATATTATAAAATAAAATTTAACAGAATATAGATACTTATAAAACCTATTTATTTGTTGACAAATAAAATAAATAGTATAATCGAATATAACTTTTACAACTGATTTTATACAGGAAATATTGAAAATCAAGCAAAGGAAAAAAATAACAAAATATAAATTCTTTTTATAAAAACTTGAATATTCAAAAAATTAAATTTAACAAAAGTTAAATTTTAATCAATTTTTTAGAAATATGGTTATATATGTTGATATAAATATTTCTCACAGAAAAATAAAAATTTTAGAAGAAATATTTGTCATATATACATACATCGCTCACACATATTTTACACACACGCATATAGGAATGATTTAATTAATTAATAGTAATTTAACTAGTTCAATGCTCTTTCCATTTCATAGAATGATTATTAATTTAGTAAGGAAATCTATATCAGGTTTACAAAGATCTAATCTAAATTTCCAACATTGTACAACACCAACTGGTGTATTATTTTTCATATTTTTAATAATATCACATATAGTAGTTATTCACATGTGGAATATTTTAATCATACTCTGATGAATTACGCCATTAAAAAGTTTAATAAGTCTTCTATAGATAATTGTATGAATCAATAAATTTTTTTAGAAATAATACATCAAAATAAGAAAAAAGTTATTTGTTTCATATTTATATTTATAAATATAAATAGGAAAAATATATTTAAATAAATAATTATTTTTTAATTAAAAAATAATTTTTTTAAAATAGATATTCTTTTATCTGAAAAAATGATTTATAATAAAAATAAATTTAAGAGAATTTTAATATTTCTAACATATCTCATTTGAAATTAAATCCTGTAATATTGTAGTATGATCTATTTCGATTTTTCTAAAATGAATTCCTACAAGAAATATTGATTAACTAGACCTTATAAGAGAATTTTCACATGGAACAAGGATATTTTATGTTTTATTCTACCTATAAATTAATAAAGTAGGAAAAACTTCATGGACTAGAGGATCCAATAGAAACGTAATGTACAATATTGTTTTGAAAGAATTCAAAGTTGTTGTACATTGTGCAAAACGTTTCCATAGAATGAAAGAACTATTTATGCTTTTAAAATCTATTTGCATGCATTCTTTCAATATGATTTTATTTATAATAATAAAGAGGTATAGGCTGACATTTAAGTATAGCGATGATAGGATACCTCTAATTGATGAAGATTGGAAACTAACTACGAGGTAAGAGGTTTTCATAGAGCTTGACCAAATAGCATTTAATTGTGCTATAAGACCATTAGCAACAATTGCGCTAAATGGTCTACTTAAGCGTACCTTCACGAGATTTTGTTTCTCCACCATGAAAATTTCATTTTCGGGCTTAAATATTGAAAGCTGATTACTGTTTGTGGAATCAATGATAAAATTGGCAAAAAATTTCCGCAACTTCGACTTTTTGGTTCATCATCTAGCGATTCTGTTACAGTTTCACTTATAATATTATGATGGGGTGTGGAATATGGATATGGTGTTGAAAGTGGATTACAAGTAATATGTACTTCTCCCATATTCCACTTATTTTTTGTATCAGTCGAATTATTTTCTTGAGTCAATTCCGAAATACAAGAAAAATGTACTTTTTTATCTGTGGAAGCTATAGAACAATTAGAAATATTAATTATACGATTTTCCGAACTCGTCAAAAAATTACTTTTACGATGATTAGATATATTATGATCTAACATAGAATTTGATAAATTCATTGATTTTAAAGATGTTTTCCTATAAACTTTAGATCGTGTAAGGGGTTTAATTGTTAACTGTGGTGATGATACTGATCGTATAGAATAAGAATTAGTACCTCTATTAATATCCATGTAATTCTGCAGAGAATGACAATCGTTACTTTTTCTATTTAAATATTTATCTTCTATAGACACATCAGGATTAATGGATTGTGGCGTGGATGTAATTAGTGGAATTGTGGGTGTTGTAACATTCTTTCCTCGGGTAATTATAGAATTTTGTGTAGCAGTGCATTCATTAAGATTTGTTTCATTATTATGTTTTATATATTGAGTAGATACAAGATTATGTTTTTTGTAAATATTTGTAGGTTTTAATATATGTTTTATAGATTGATTAAATTTGTTTTTTTCATTTATAGAATTAAAAAAAGAAAAAGAAGTTTGCGAAAAAGTAGAATTATTAATAAGCGCTTCATTTGTCCCTGATTCATTAGGTCCGAATGAAGCGTCCATGAACCCTCAGCTTGGGAATCTTGAATAAAATGCACAAGTCAAATCATAATTCTTGAAACGACAATATTGTACATCTGTACGTAACCAATCACCAGAACATTTTAGAAAATCAGTTTGTTCTAAATCACGCGGACAACTAGCAGCTATCGATTCTTTGTTAGCAAAGACAGTTACAACAAATTTTTTTGGTTTAAAAGTGTTCAATACACGTCGTATTATTTCCTCATATGATGCTTCTGGAATGTTACTCTCAAATGAGACATATGAAAACTCTGGTTCTGGTGTGATGTGAATAGTCATATAATTTCCCTGTAAAAATAATATTTATTTACTAAATATTTATTTCTATATTTATTTTATATATAAGATTATTTTCTATGAAAAATACTTACCTTTTTAGATACTCCATTCATTGAATATCCACAAGGTTCGAATAAAAAATCATCAATAATCATATTTGGAATAAGTTTGTCAATTCCTGATTTTTGAGTTGCTTCATCTGCAGATGAACATACATCTCTAGTGAAAAGAGCCATTATTTCTGGATCTAAATGAGTCATTAAGATTTCTAGGGTTTGATCTGGTTCTGAAGGTTCATCAACAGATTTCTCTTTATTCAAAGTATATAAATACCAACAATCTGAATCTACAGAACCTAAACAATAGGCTTCCCCACCTAAAAAAAAACATAGCAAATTAAATTTTTTTTTAAGTTTTTCTTTCCTAAAATATTCATTATATAATATTATTATAATATTTATTTCAAATATTATTTAGAAATTTAAATATATAAATATATAAAAATTATTACCTGGAAAAAATGTATCGAGTAAGCCAACTTCTTCTTCAAATGCTTGATGCGGAGATATTTGCAATTCTGGTTTCTTGTAATTTTTTCGCGAATAAAATACATTCTGAAACAATTATAATTTTTTGTATTTTAATTTTTTCTTAAATTTAATTGAGAAAGCAATTAATAATTTAATTATTACATAATAATGAAATAAAATATATTAATTAAAATAATAAAATAAAATATTAAAATATATATTCAGAAATATTACAAGACAAGAAATATTAAATTAAAGATAATTTGAATAAATATATTTTCATATACTATATCATGAGTAGGAAAGATCAATAAACCAAGAGGTAGAGATGTATCCTGTATATTAGAGGTTTCCTATATATAGATACTTATCCATGTAGTAGGTCAAGTTATATAGCTAAGTATTTTTAAGTTTAATTTATTTGCAATAAATAATAATTATTATAAAGAATATTATATTATCAAAAGATTCATATTTTAATATATAATAGATGTTTATTATTAATATTATAATTGATAAATATAATAATTTTTAATATATGATTTCTAAAAAAAAGATTTTCATAATTGTCTTTTAGATATTTCATTTACATTTTAAATTTTATATAATTAATTATTTACATTAAATATATTTATTCAATATTAAAATATTAAATAAATAATAATAATAAATCATAAATAATTATTCCTTAACAAACATTTTAAATATTTTGATATATTAATAATAAAAAATATAGAAAAAGTTTTATACCTCTACTTCTTCAAAGCCAGTATATTCTTTTATGAGTTCCAAAAGAGGCTCCAAACATTGAAGAGGAGTAGTTGTGCCACATGTTTTCAAAATAAGTCTACGTTTTGATAGGAACATGCTGCTTTCACTGTAAAGTAATTTATATTTCAATAATTTTGTATTAATATTGAATATACAAAATATACATATTTAAAAAATTGATAATACATTCATTATATATGTAATAAATATATAAACAAAATAAATATCACAGATAAATATCATAAGATATCAAAAAGAAAAGATCATGTTGATATTTAACTATTTTAGCAAAAGATCATCATAAAATCAAATAAATATATCAACATTTCTTAATATCTCATAATTATTATTTAGTATATGTTTATTTATATATATTATATATTATTATATTATTTATTATATATCAATATTTTATATCAATATTTATACAAAAAAATGAAATAATGTGACATTTTTGTTTATATATTTCGATAGAAATAAACAATTTTCAGTCAGAT